GAAAGAAGGCAAAGATCAAAAGCAGGATCTGGAGGAGGAAATGCCAGGACTGGATTGGAGACTGGATATATCCTATGCAGAAGAAAAGTAGTTAAAAACTGGAAATTCAGGGGATCTGTGGACTCACTGACAGAAATGGGAGTAGCTGGGAAGAGGAAGTGGGTTTGAAGGGAAATAATAGCCAAACCCCGACATCTGAGTTCTTGGTAAATTTTGGACTTTGTCAGTCTCTGGTTTTAGTGAGACAACCCACACTACACTGGTATGACAGTATAAAATATGGGAAAGGAATCTAATTATGCTTTCTGTCAGCATTCAATAGAATATGACAGAAAACGATAATCATGCTTCCCAAACTCATCCTTTCAATGACTTTTTCTCTTTTCTCTTCCCACTTAAAGCCCGTGGAGAATTTGTAGTATAGAACAGTGGTCCTCAAAATGTGGTCCCTAGATCAACATCTGTATCTCCTAGGAATATTTTAGAAAGGCAAATTCATAGGGTCAACTCCAGAGGAAGGGAATCAGAAACTCTGGGGGTGGATCCAGCGATCCGTATTTTAACAAGCCCTATGGTGGATGCTGATGTCCACTAAGGTTGTGAACTGCTGGTGTAGAGTATTCTTTACATGTTGCCTCCATAGCAGGTGAGGTAATCCACCACTTAGTGCTATGATTTCACATAGTAAGAATGATTCCTTTAGAAAAATTCATTTTCCCTAAATCTATTCCTTCAGAAACTGTGTTGAGTATGCGCTATCTGCCAGGCACTATTCCAAGCACTGTGGACACTGCAGTGAACAAATCTCATACAGTCAATCAAAAAAATACCTACACGTTAGCTAGTAATAACAAATTATGCTCTGGAAGTGACTCCCAGGGGACCTGAGTGTTGGTTAGGGAATCACGAAAGTATCCCTAAAGAAATGACATTTAAATCAAGAAAGAATGACTGGAAGTTAGTCTAGAGAAGGGCAGAAGGGGTAATGTGAAGGCATTCTAGGCCCTGAAAGGGGCAGGCTTGGGTTCTTTCAGCGAACTGAAGACAGACCAGCATGAACAGGTCATTGTTAATGATGGGCGTTGAAGCTGGAAAGGCAGATTTGATAGATAGATCATGCAATATGACTTGTAAATCATGTGGAAGATTTTGAACTTTTCACTGAGAGCAATTAAGGGGCCATTGAAAAGTCTCAAGCATGGGCTAACATGATCTAATTCATGTTTTTTTAAGGTAATTTTTTTCTATTAAAAAGGCAAAGCCTTTCCCACTACACAACTGTGGGTGCAATAGCATGATGATTTAAATTCCCTGTAAGTCATGATTGGCTAATAGAGAAATGTTGTCTGAATAAGGCTTTGATGAGGGTGGGAAAGGGGGTAGAGTGTCCACGTGGCGACTAAGTGCCAGGAACAGAAAAGGAGGAAGGGCTTAGGAGCTTCTTCTGCTTTGTGGTTGTGGCTGAGACTGGTCCTGCCTATGCATGTCTGAAGCAGCAGGAGTGCAAGTTCACAGGCAATTGCTGCTTCTCTCATGGGGCATCTTCCTCCTCTACACAGAGGACCCTGGTGCTCAGGCTGTGTCCATCTGGAGGCTTTTTTCCTACAGAGGATCTCCTTTAGAGATGTCAATCACTTTCCAGGCCTCATGGTCACCTCCCTGAGAATGATACCCAAATCTACATGTCCTCCTGGCCTTTACAAGATTTTCATTTTTAATACCTTTGTGCTATTGCCCTGTGCTAATACATCATGTTAACAATAAATGTAAATACGCAGTTGTTTAGTGTTGGCCTGTGTGTAGTTCACCAGTGCTTGAAAATTTATACACACCCAGCCCTGACTGCTCTCTTGCGTTTCAGTGACGTGTCTCATAGTGTCTGCTGGACAGCTGACCCTAAAATGTCATTCTAACTACAGATAGCCTGCCTGTCATTGAACTCATCATATCCTTCCCAAATCAACTTGCCTCTGACCTCTTCTGCCTTTGTCCGTAACATCAGCATTTACTGCCTCCCAAGTTCCAAGGTTTGGAGTCATCCTTGACTCCTTTGTTTTATCTTCTCACCAATTCCAAGCACTAAGATTGTTCTATTCACCTGGTGGAATGCCAGTATGCCGTTTGTTCCTCTCTTTGATTAACCTTTATCATCCTAGTCCTACTTACCTCAAAGTGGGATAGTTCTACCATATCACAACTAGTTCTCCTAACTTGAAGTTGCTTTCCCAGTACACCCTCAGGGACGCTGTGACTACTCTGCATATAATATTCTTCATCTAGCCAATTTTATTTAGCAAAGGCTGTCTGTATTATTTCTTGCAGTGGAATCTTCTTTTTTTTCTTAAGGGAATATTATGTAGACTCTCATTATATAAAAGAGATAATCATGAAGCTTCTCTGGTTGAAGATGGGCTAAAAGGAGCACAATCCCCTTGATCTGTCCTCAGGTTTTGAAGCAGCCTCTTTGGCACCAAGAGGCTCATCAAGGCAGTTTGAAAACAAGGATGCACAGAATAGAGTTAAACCTCTTGGGGGGATATATATGTTTTCTTCATGATGTCTTTTTTAAAAAAACTGTAGTTGTTATCAATCTATGCTAATCCTCCAACCTAGTCACACAAGTTTATACAAAATTCTTAAGTGCACAGTGTCATTCCTTCATCCCCGTTTGGGCTCATGGTATTTCCCTTGCTTTGAGTGCCTGGAGTGCCAGCCATTCATCTCTGCCAATCTAAATTCTACTTTTCTCAGTCCCAATCCCACTTCTTAAGGCATTCCCGGATTGTTCCAGCTCTCAGTGATTTTTCTTTCTCCAAATTCCTGCAGTATTCTTCTGTTGAAATTCACTCTGAACTATCTTGAACTTTTTATCTTTTCAGGTGTGCATTCAATTTCTCCCAATAGATAATAGGATGCTTAAGGGAAGAATCAAGTCTTTTGTCACTTTTTATCATCGGCATCTAGTATTATACACTACCCATAGTATTTGCTTTGTGGGTGTATTTTGGTGATAATCCACAGCAAGAAAGAATAACTATAGGCCCATTGATTCCACTTTCATTAATAGAAGTCTGAGTTAAATATCCTGTCTTTGAAATGTCCCTCCAAAGCAGTGTTTCTAAGTTAGGAGAACCAGACACTATGACTAACTGCAAGCATTACTTTTTCCTCCAATTACCATTAAGTCTACAACTACCTTCTTTGACTGTCTTTCATTAAATTATGTTGGAAGTAGATCTGGGGAATAACAACAGATGGGTACAAGTTGGCAGTTCTTAGTCTAGACTAGAAAGGGTGTTTTATTCCATCCCCCAACAAGTAGATCTGGGGAATAACAACAGATGGGTACAAGTTGGGAGTTCTTAGTCTAGACTAGAAAGGGTGTTTTATTCCATCCCCCAACATTCTAGCTAAGTCACACTTAAATTATATTAAAAAGATGACAAGAAACTTATATTAATATGTAAATCAAATGGTGTTGTTTCTCTTTTAAATCCTTTGGCATGTTTTCCATGGCCCTCAACACTTGTTGATCCTCATCTCCACCACCCATCCCCCTCACTCACCACACCCTGGCCACCACAGCCAGCTTTCAGTTCCCTGGATTGCTAAACTCCTTCCCTCCTCCTGGCTTCATGTAGTGGCACTCTGCCTGGATGCGCTTCTCTGTTTTTCCCTTGATCAATTTCTGTCATTCTTTGAGCCTCAGACATCTTGTCACTTCATTAAGAGAGTTCTCTGATCTCCCAGAATAGGTAAAGCTTCCTTGTTATGTGTTCTCATAATCCTTATCACAATTGTAACTATATATTAACCATGAAATCATTTGTTTTGTGTCTGTTGTCCCCATCAGACTATAAACTCTAAGATGTCAAAGACTATACAAATCTTATGCAATATATTTCAATGCCTAGAATTAAGCCTGATGCATAATAGATGCTTGAATGAATAAATGAATGAGCATTTTAATAAATGAGTAAATGAAGGACTGTCTTATAAAACTTTCAGAGACACAAACCATTCTAATATTATGTAAATTCACAGCTTAATTCTCCTTCTTGTCCTGCTCTGAATGGACATAGGCAGCATTCTCTGGGTCACGTGATTCACAGGAAACACACAGTTTTATAAAGTAACTTCAACTTTCATATAAACAAGCCCAAACAACCAAGCATTATGCAACAAAAACTTCCCTTGTTCCCAAACAGAATCCAATCAACTTAAATGACTGAATATAATAGTAAAACTTAAAAGCATTTGTTTTGTTTAAAATTGTCTCATTTGTGCATCCTAGCGTGGATATTTCTATAATTCTTTTTAACATTGTTATTTTGAAAATGTATACAGTTGGGTAAAACATATAAGAACACAGTCTTATAGCTGTGAAATGTCTACATGTTGAAACCTTTTAGTACATGATTATTTCTAAAGTTAATGTGGTCTCTTTCCCTGAAGGTTCCAGCACCCCACTGATACGTCCGTGACCTGTTTCTGTGTCCTTGCTGTCTTGAATTACCCTGCTGAGTCAGACAACTGGAGAACGAATTAGCACCGACTGCAGAGGAGATTTTTCTGATACAAAAATCTGACCTTAAAACTCCAAGCCTTGAATATCTTTCTGTCAGGGTGCTAACAGTTCACCAAATTTGCACTGAAGAGTCTAAGGTTTCACACTCTCATATTTCCTCCAGTCTTGTCTTAACTAGAACAAGTGAAAGATTCAACTGGTTTATCAGTTCCTTTACCAGGACAAATCATTATTCAATTAAAACAAGGGGAAAGGGGAAATCTAATTCCATTCTGGAACAGCTTTCAAATCCACAGACATTTCCACATTGTTCTTCTCAAACCCACCTTTTCTTGTTTTATCACCTCACATGCAATCAGACAATAGTATGAATAAACGTCATGTTTTGAGGGTAGGGACCAAACACACAGCTCACTCACGGCAGGAGGAAATATATTTGGATGGCATCAAGTTTTCCTCTACAGTGACTGACCTGCATACTTTTAAATTATCAGACTCATCATCGTAGGCGGCAGGAGGCTTCTGAACAGAGTTATTCACCTGGAACCCCGCATCATCCACATACTTGCCGCCTTCCATTACTGCCAACATTTCAGGGCTGGAATCTGCTTCTGAAAATCTCTTCTTGATTGTTTCGTTTTGCCTAAGACTATGCAAGAGCTGAGGATCCCTGTGGTGGTATCTGCCTTTGCTTTCCACATGGTTCCTTGAGGATTTCTTAATCTGAAAGGATTCTCTTGGTGGGGAGAGACTGTCTTCTGGGTAGCTTGTGCCTTTTCCCCTGCAGAGATTTAAAGAGCAACTCTCACAGTCAATCAGCTCTTGTGGCTTTTTGCCTGTGGATCCCAAATCTACCAGATCAATTCCACTAGGAGCAGAAGATCCATCCAAGTTTCCATATGGTTTATGATTATTTCTCCTTCTTCTTCGTGACATTTGGAATTGAACATGGGCCCTCCTTTTTGCCTGAATCCAATGACTCTCATCTGCAGAAGATGAATCTGAAGAATCTGTGTAAAGTTCACTCCATTTGGGGCTTGAGATTTGGAGGTGAAAATCATTTCTTTTCCCCTTGGTTTGTTCTTCTGCATGCTCATATCTCTCAGAGGCCCTTCTCCTCCTTCTAGGCCTCTGTTTTACTAATTTCTTACCCGACTCCTTCCTAGCAGGGCTCAGCGCCATGACAGGGGTACAATGCTCAAATGCATCTTCTGACATGTCATGCAAGATGGCAGATCTAGACAGAGCAGCAGGCAAAGGATGGGAAATGGGAATGGAGAGGAAAGTCATGGGAAAACAGAGAGAGAGAATGATGAAAATGATAGCATGGCCCAGAAGTTGGTAAATAAAGATCAAATGAAGAAAATGCACTAAAGGAAAAATAAAATCAAGCCAGCATAAATTAATGGACAATGTAAGGCAGAAGCAAGAGCCACACAGTCTCAGAATGTAAAACAAGAATACAAAACACTGTTCTAAAGATTTTTGAATAGGATCATTTGCTGAGCACTTACCTGCAGATGTCCTGAGTGGATGGACAGACAGACAACCTTGACTGGCTCCTGGGAGCTGTCCCTGTTGTTGGGCTGCTTGCCTGGAGAAACAAGTTAGATAATTTGGCATCTTGGTTAAGGTAATACATGGTCGATATCTTGCTTTTTTTCCACATATTTAAAAAATTACAACAAACGTGGCTGCCGGTCATGTTGCTCATAAAGCAGCTCACAGAATATAGGAAGTTAGAGGGTTCGTTTTGCAAAAGTAAAACTATTTTGAGGAACTTGGAACAGCTGAGATGCTGTACCACTTTGCTATTGCTTCATTTATGAGAGAGGAAGATGATTCCACAAGTTTCCATTCTGTTTACAGTAAACATTTGAGCGGAATGGCTCAATTTGCCTTGGAAACAAGTGGGTAACACATGGATAGCCTATGAAATAAAGGACATAAAGGCTGTTTTGTGACAAGGGTGATAGTAATCTGAGAAGCCTAAATAATCAAATCACCATTAGACTGCTAGATACTGCCCGGAGTTAACATTACGTCACATAAGTCCCCATGAGAGAATATATTTGAAAACACTTTGTAATGTTTAAAAGCCTGAAGTTATTATTATTTCATCATTGAAACCAATAAAATTTATCCATTGCAACATTATTGATCTCTCACATCTTTTAACTCTGTGACCATACTGAGCCTGAGAATAAACGAGCCTGAAATAATTCAGATTGTTAGCACAAAGTCGAGAACATTTCACTAAACTCCTACCTTTGAAACACAGCATTTTCTTGACTCTATTTGACGTCTTTAACCTGTTGTATTTAATACAGATGATGATGATAAGTCAAAAGCTAGAAGGTATTGAGAATTTACTGCGTGCCAGGCATTGTGCTGTGGCTTTATCTATTGTCTCTTTAAATCTTTAATAATCTGACAAGTGGGAAGTAACAATAACTAACAGTTTTGAGTGAATATTATGTGCCAATCACTGTTTAAGTAATTTTTATATGTTCACTCATTAATACAAGAAATGTATGTGGTAAATATTATAATTTTTTCCGTGTTATAGATGAGGAAACTGAGAAATTGGTGCTGCTCCTTACGAGCAAGTGTTAGAGCAGAGATGAGGAATCTTGCTCCTCCATCTGTTCTTTTATCCACCTGGCAAACCAGTTCTCTTCCCTTACACAGGAGGAGGCCCAGGGAGTCCTAGCTCCAGATTCAGGCCAGTCTGACTGCACAGAAAAAATACACAATTCTGCCACCAAGAAAAGAACAGTACAGGTAGAAAGATGAACTCCAAATTTCAAAGTAGTTTTAAAACTTCCTGTATTAGAGATATAGAAAGACAATTGTAGGATCCAGAGAAAGAGAAACTGATTCTAACTCAAGAGATCAGAAAAACTTTCAAGAGGAGGCATGGTAGGCTGAATAATACTCACCTCCCTCCCCGAGAGGTCAACATCTTAATCCCAGGAATTTGTGAATATGTTTCCTTATGCAACAAAAGGGACTTTGCAGATATGATTTAGTTAAGGATCTTGACGTGGGGAGATTTGTCTTGGACTATGTTGGTGGGCTCAATGTAATTATGAGGATCCTTATAAGAGGGAGGCTGTAGAGTTAGGGTCAGAGAGAAAAGATGGAAGGATGGGAGCAGAGGTCAGAGAGGAAGGAAGATTCTACCCTTCTGACTTTGAAGAAAAAGCCAGGGGGCCCTGACCAAGAAATGCAGGAGGCATCTAGAAGCGGGAAAAGGCTAGGGAATGGGCTCTCCTCTAGAGTTTCCAGAAGGAATGTAGCCTGCCAACATTCTGATTTTAGTTCTGTGAGATCCATGTTTGACTTCTGACCTCCAGAACTATAAGGGAATAAAGTTATGCTGTTTTTCTTTTTCTTTTTTTTTAAGTTGCATTGTTTTAAGTCAACAGATTTTGAGGTCATTTGCCACGGTATTCATAGGAAACTAATAAAGCAAGTGACACTTCAGCTAATCTTAAAAGGCAAGTAGGAGTTATTAAAGAAGTGATTAAAAATATTCTAGGCAGAGGAAACAGTGGGCCAAGAGAGAAGGATGGCATTCTCAACAAGCTCCAATAGACTGATTTACATCTGCACACTTCTCACTTATAATTTTCTCAGTCTTTTCTATCCATGAACAGTGTGTATTTTTAAAATCTTTGAACATCATCTTTGAATACCAGTCTATGTTTGATTATCTTCTTTAATAGTTGTATCAAAATTCACTTATTTCAAGATTTTTAAAATTTTAAATCAACTTCATCTCTGCATCCGTTGAACAAGTATATAAGCAATTTTTGTAAAATATAAGCACTTCTGTACTCTAAGCAGTAAGCGGTAAGTTTTGTTAGATTTTCCACCACTTATCCCACGTACATCACTGAGACTAGTAGGGAGTTCTGCATACAGCAGACACTGAGTAAAAGCCATGTGTGAAGTTCACTACTCATTCTCTTTTAAAAAAAAAAAGCAATACAGCCCAAAGAGACCTCAAATCACTGATGATATTATTATGAATGTGAACCATAAAGTGTTGAGCATGATAATGGATATCCATTATGATGGATGTGCTACTCGATGTGTTGAAACCAGTTCTATGAAGCTGTACAGGCAAAGATGTTGAAATAGATATAATCATCATAAAACAAATTTTATCATCCCACAGGTCTGAGCAAATGTATGTTCTACTGATTTATTAGTGAATAATAACACAGAACATTAAAAAATGTGCACCTTCCCTTTGAAGAGTTTTTCGGTCCACCATGACACTGATCAAGTAGTGTTTATGTCTACAACCCTTAAGTACTGTGAAAGGAATAGAAATCATTCCTTGTTGCCCATCAAGAGTCTTCATATGACTCACAACCAATATTAGTTTATACATGTTCAGTTTGCTGGTACGTTACTATAAGCAGATGCTGTAATGCCCACCCTGTCCCCTTGGTCCTATTCTGAGTTCACTTGCATGCTGATTGCTTCCCACTTGGAGCACCTGTACTTCTTGGGTTCTCTGCCCTGGGTCTTTTCTGGTACTACATACTTTTGCTTAGCTGCACACTGGCATAACCTGGGAATGTGGGACAAGTTAAAACCCCTGGGGAAAACTCTTGGATTGGAATCAGTCAATAAATGCTCTATTTTTTCCATTCTCCTGAGGGGCAGTTCTGAGGTGCTGTCCAGAGGGTCTCAAAATGTCCAGAGCTGGATCAAGACTCAGCTGTCACTAGCTCATCAACACACCCTTTACTGGCATTCCCCTTTTTCTGTCTTACTTTTCTCATGCCTGTAGTGCTTCCCAGGATGACCTCTCGGAAAAACTACCTGCATCCAACTTAGACAGTATCTAAATTGACTGGAATCTATTTGAGCAGCTGATTGATAGGAAACTAACCCTAGCTTGTGTCACTTTTGATTCATTTGCTCAGCAAACATGAATTAAGGGTCTATTATGTAGTAGATACTGTGGTGAGTTCTGGGAATAAAGGAACAGATGGCATCCTGAAGGGGCTTCTCATTCAGTGGAGAAGGGATGTAAATGAACAGGCAATTTTAATGCAGTCTAGTATATCCTGATAGAGTCTCCTAATGGGAGATCTGATGAAGGAAGGGCACCTAATGCAGAATGGAGCAGAGAGTTAAAGTAAGTGTCCCGGAGGAGATGACACCTGACCTAGAAAGGATGAGTGTGAGCAAAGTAGAAGAGGGCAATCCAGACAGGGAGAAGGATGTGCAAGAGCACAGAGGAGAGAGAATGTAGAGTACTATGGGAAGCATAGAAGGTTTTGTAATGATTGGAGGGAAGGTATTGAGTGAAATAAGAAGTGATACAAAGTCAGGAGAAAGGAGTAGACAGAGGACCTGTATGCCACATTGAAATACTTGGGTTATATGCTCAAATGAATGGAAAGTTGTTGGCAGATATTCAGCAACAAATGGAAATGATTAAATATGGGCACTAGAAAGCTTACTTTGGCAGCTGAGAATTGAAAGATCCAGGACTGACTGAACGCAGGGAGAAGAATTAAGATTCAATATATCCAGGATACAGAGGGGATCAAGAAAACGGATAGGCTAAGCAATACAATCCCAGTCAGTTGTTTTATTTTTAAATATGATAAAAATTATTTGAAAGATCAGGTGAAAGAAGTAACACAGGGAAACATATAGGAAAATTCTTTAACAAAAGCTAAGTGGGACCGGGGCTACAGTACTTTTACTGGATATCAAAACATAGCATGAATCTTCAGGAATTAGAAGAATATGTGGATGGCATAGGACAAACACATCATTAGAATAGAAATCTATTGTAGGGAATCAGAATTGGCCACCTCAAAATGTGTCTCTTTGGCTTGATTATTTTTAAGAACAAAAGACTCTGAAAGAAACTTTGACCTTCCCCCTAATTATCTAAAAGAACTTAATATAAAAGCTCTGTCCCCAGGACAGGCCATCACCATAGATAACTCTGGGTATGGTAGACTGTGAGGATCCTTGCTAAGCCCATTCTTATCAAAGTTCTGCTTACCAAACATTTGCTTTTCAATTTCCATGTAAATTGCCTTCCTCTCCCTTGAAGCTCCAAACCACTACTCCCAACATCCTCCTTTATCTTTAGCTAAAGATGGTATTTAAGGTGGCAGCTCAGCCATTTTGGCAAGTTACTCAGTTTTCCTGAGTCTCTCCCATGTACACATGTTATAAAGCTTTATTTGATTTTCTCCTGTTATTCTGTCTCATGCCAATTTAATTTGTAGCCTGGCCAGAAGGACCCACCGGATAAAGGATTTGTCTTCCTCCCCTACACTATTATCTATCAATCTGTTATCTGTCTATCTATCTATCATCTCTCTTTCTATACCTTAGTACATAAGAAAGTTGCATTTCAAATAAGTGGAAAAAGGCTAGGTTATTAAATAAATAGCATGGGGAAAAATGACTAGTCATTTCAAAAAATGTAAAGCTGGATCTTTTTCTTATTGCTTACAGTAAAGTTTATGTGGGTGAAAGGCTTAAATATAGTAAAATAAACCATAAATGTACGAGAAGGAACCATAACTAAACATGTTTATAATA